GCGACTGCCCCACTTGTACAGATTCCACTTGGGTCGAGTGATCTTTCACTTCCGACGGTTGTGGGCACCGGCTCGAATAACCCTCAGCAGCCAGCCAGATCTATGGATGGGCTGCCATCTCGTCGTGATTTAAAAAAATCAACCCCCCCCCCCCCCGCCGGCACCTAAATATCCCGCCGCCCCCCCCCCTCCCCGTGATAGCCTGGTCGCGTGAAAACCCGGCGTGCTCCATCCCCCGGCTTTCGCAGGGATGCGAGGTCAAACGACAACGGCATACACGGCTACGAGTACCCCACCACCACCACCCCGCTCCCCTTTCTGCCGCCTGCCTCACCCGATCGTTACGGCGTACTTCTTCTCCGTTCGGTCCTCCAGCTCCTCGTAGTACTTGACGCCGTTGTAGTGGCACATGAACGCCACGCAGGACATGTTCATGAGGGTAACAAGGCCGGGGCCCACGCGCCACAGCTTCACGACGCCCCACGGGGAAGGGACCGGGCTGCGGAACCGAGCGTCGATGGTCTGGTCGGATCCCGAAAAATAAACGGCAGGAAAATTTAGGGTTTGGTGCAAGTGCGGTGTGCGCATGTAATCGGCAGAACGTCAGCGTTGATTTTTTGTTGTTTCGCCTAAACCGGCGATGTCTTTTGACCAGGGCCGCGTAGTTTTCGGCCCGGGGCATCGTCCTTGATACCAACTCGGACAAGATTCTGTATCCGTGCAGCTGAGGGGGGGGGGGGTACGCATTTGAGGGAGGGGGGTAACCGTTGTAAAGCATATCTCCGTTGTACGCATTTGAGGGAGGGGGGTAACCGTTGTGAAGCATATCTCCGTTGAAACATTTGTGCCCTGCAACTCTGGGAGGGACTTCATACGGAAAGGGGCATTGTGCAGAAGACTCTGCTTCGCGCGTAGTGATGCGATGTTTTGACACCCATCACAACACCAGAGACACGAACGGTACATACTAACAACAGATACGAGCTGGTGGTCAGGATGCTAAACATGAGAACGGACCAAATCGTGACTCTGTTGTTCGCGTTTGCCAGCCAAACCAAGGGGAATTTGTCGTCAAGAACTACGAACGCGAACTTTCAAGCGCTCACACCCGCCTACAAACTATTCGTTGTTACACACGCGATACTCCGCTTCGCTGCTTCGAAACGTGACTCTCATATTGCGGTACCAACCGGGCAATAAAATCCCGTCAAACTACAATCTCGCACGTTCCGATCGTGAACATCGTGTCCAATAGAAAGCTTGCAATTGCATGCCGTGCAACAATTTTTTTTTCGCGTCAACCGATCCTAAACATCGTGTCCAATACAAATTTACGATGGCACGCCCTGCCTGAACGAGAAAACCGATATGTATGCTCGAGTGACCGGCGAACGGGGTTGGGGGGGGGTGGTAACGTACGTTGAAAAATTCGCCCCCCTCAGAGTAGGTCCCATCCAGGCTGCGCTTCACCACGAAGAGGGTAGTGTAGAGGATGGACACCACTCCGACAAAGCTGGTGTACTGGGGCAGGCGTGGTACGGGGCACAATCGGACGGGCAACGCGACGAGTCAGCCAACAACACAATCAAGCAGCAAGTGGTTTGGGAACGAGGACAACGAGAAAGAGGTAAACGAGATGACAGCGACCAGGAAAAGGAACGGTGTGAGGGGAGAGAAGAAAAGATCGACGGGGGGAGAGGGCGGCACGAGCAGAGCGCCCGCGGGCACAACACGAAAAAAAAAAAAATGGTGCCAAGACAAGACAGCGCCGAGGTGGAGCACTCTAACGCATCGCGTGATCTGGCTTTCCGAGGCGACATTTCCCGGGCCTTTGAGGTTGGTGTCTGGTGTTGTGACGTGAAAGTGTCCTTACAAGCTGGAAAGTGTCTTTAACCCCCCCCCCCTAGAAAGTGTTCCGGTGGAAAGTAGAGCGTTTGGGAGACGAGGGGACACGCGATGAATTCCAGAAGGGATTGGCTGGTAGTGTAGAACCCTTCAGGAAACTGCTGAAAAGCGTCGAAGACGGAAAGGTAGACGTACAAGCAGCAGGGGACAGGGTGATTGAAGGATGGGAGTCCATAGTGAACACAACGGCAGAGAGAGTAGTGGGAAAGAAGGTGGTACGATGTGGGGTATCGGTTAAGTGGTGGGATGACGAGCTGAAAGAAGAAATAGGGGAACGTAGAGAAGTCTTCAAGCAGTACCTGGGTGAGGGGTCTGAAGAGAGTTGGGAAAAGTACAGGGCCAAGAGGAAACAGGTGAAGGGACTAGTGAAAAAGAAGAAAAAGAGCATTTGGGACGAAGTAGTGCAGAAGGCCAACGGAGGCCTGGAGGGGAACGTCAAGCAGATGTGGGAAGGGATTAGTGGGATGGTAAAAAAGACCGCGCAAGGGGGGGATACAGGGGTAGCAACATTGCGAAGTGTGAACGGTGGACTAGTCAGCAGTGGGAAGGGAAAAAGGGAAGTTCTAGCAGGACACTACAAGAGACTTGGAGTGCCTTCGGAGAATGAAGATTTTGACAAAGTGTTTAAGAAGGAGGTGGACGCATGGGCCCAGAAAGAAGAAGAGACATCGAAGGCAGACGTTGGGAACGTAGAACTAGAAAAGGAGTTCACTGAGGACGAGGTTGAGGCGTGTGTGAACAAGCTGCAGTGCCACAAAGCAGCAGGGGCGGATGGGATAGTAAACGAGTTCATGAAGTTTGGGGGCAAGGGGATGATCCAGCTGATGGTACTGCTGTACAACTGGGTGTGGAAAAACGAGTATGCGCCAAGTAGATGGAGGGAAGGAGTGGTTGTGAACTTGTTTAAGAAAGGAGACAAGACTGACCCAGGAAACTACAGGGGTATCACACTGTTGAACACAGTAGGAAAAGTGTTTGTAAGCTGCTGAACGATAGGATAGTGGGAGTATTGGAGAAGAAACGTAGCATTAGTGAGGGCCAGGCAGGTTTCCGACAGAAGAGGGGGTGCGTAGACCACGCATTCACGGTAGGGAGAATCATCCAAGGTAGAAAGAGGGCGGGCAAGCGGACGTACTGCTTCTTCCTGGACGTGAAAAAGGCATACGATACCGTATGGAGAAATGGGCTGTGGAAACAATTGTCCAAGTACGGGATCAAGGGGAAAATGTGGAGGGTGCTGAAGAAGATGACAGAGTGTACGAAAAGCGCGGTCATGCTAGACGGAGAACTGTCTAAATTCTTCGACATTGAGCAAGGGGTCCCACAAGGTTGCACGCTGTCCCCAACATTGTTCCAGGTGTTCATCAACGATCTGTTGGAAGTCGTAGAGGCAGTCCGGAAGGGAGTAAAAGTAGGGGACACGGAAACTTCGGTGTCAGGAATGCTGTTTGCGGATGACTTTGTTGGTATGTCGGACACCCCTGAGGGACTGCAACTGCAAATTGACGCGGCGAAGAAGTTTACTGATAAGTGGAGATTGTCTGCCAACGTTACGAAGAGTGCCGTCATGGTATGCAACGAGGGCAGGGAGGAACCAGTAGAACATAGATGGAAGTGGGGGATCGAGGAGACTGCGCAGTAGTCGACCAGTACACATACCTCGGAGTAGAGATCGCAAAAGATTGCTCGTGGAATGCACACATGTCCAAGGTAGCGGAAAAGGGCAAAGCACGAGCAGGGAAGCTGCACCCAATACTCGCAAACCGGCACCTTGATACACGCATCAAATTGACGGTTTTGAAGAGCGTAATCGTACCGCCGCTGGAGTACGCCGGAGAAGTATGGGAAGGAAATAAGAAGGTAGTGAAAGAACTCGAGGCGGCGCAGATGAAAGCAGCGAAAATCATCCTAGGATGCTCCAAGCGCACAAGTAATGCAGCAGTCAGGGCAGAATTGGGGATCCAATCCCTACGGTCGGGAAGAGACGTAAGGAAGCTGACATGGCAGTACCGCATGTGCGGGATGGGAGAGGAGAGGTTGCCGAGAATAGTATGGGAGGCGAAGTGGGCAAACAAAAAGAGGGGTAGACAACCCACGGAATGGGTCAAGGTTGTAGAGGACGTATGGAAGGGATTGGACATCGACGAAGATGAAACGCTGGAAACGGAGGGTCTACAGGGGTTCAAGAAGAAGATATCTGTTGCTTGTGCCGACAGAGAAGAACAGAATCTAAGGAAAGAATCCAAGGATAAGGAGGGTCTAGAAGTGTACGGAATGTTGAAAGAAGGAATAGGGTTCAAGGATTACCTACATGGACCAATGGATGCAGGGACAAAGCTTAAGGTCAAATTCAGGACCGGGGACATAGGCCTTCGCGAACGTCGACGAAGACATAGGACGGTAGACGACGAAGACGACAAGTTCAAATGTGATTGCGGTTTCGAATGCGAAGACAGTGTTCATGTAGTCGCGGAATGTCCGTGGTACGAAAAGGAGAGGGAAGTGTACATGACTGAGCTGGGAAGAATACAAGGGACGTACAGGGAGATGTTTGAGGCATGGAATAGAGAGGAGAGGACGGTAGCGGTACTGGGGAGTAGGAAGTGGTTTGAAAAGGCGGGAAGTGACATCGGTAGGATAGACAGACTAGGGAAGACATTTTTGAGCCACCTTTGGCAAAGTAGGAAGGAACGATTGGCCATCGGTGATCGGTCCTGTGGGAACAATGCTCCGTCCTCTCGAGGACGCGTGGTCAATGGTCTAACCGCTAAGGCATGCAAAGCATAAGAGTACGCCCCCCCCCCCCCCCCCCCCCTAAAATCCCGGGAGCCCCCCGGGGTTTGCCATCGGGGTTGGGTTTTCGTCCCTTGGCAACGACGTTGTAAAACAAGCCGATCACTTCGTGAGCTCGGCCACCAGGTTACCGCTCGTACTTTTTTGGCCTCTGTTTTTTTGGGGGGGGTAACCATAATGGTGGTCGAGTAGATTACGTTGTGCGGGGTCGAGAACACTCACTTCGCGCAAGGGGGATGATCGCACCACGTTGTGTTAAATTGGTCAACCACCCTCGAGGCAGTTACACAGTGCATTTAACTGTCTATGTAAGTGAAAGCACCAGAAAATAAATTAAGTCATACGCAGCTGTCATCCGTACGCAAGTAAGGAAGCACAAGATGCCGAACAACCTTAGCCGGATGCAGCGCACTCTTCATGCAACTCGCCGAATACCTCATGGCGCTTCGCGCTTGGTGATGTGATCGCCTGGTCCGGTGAGAACCCGGCGTACTCCGTCCCGCCTTTGTAGGGAGGTCGGGACAATGGTCTAACGACTACGGCATGCACGACTACGAGAACCTCCCCCCCCCCCCTACCGTTTGGACATTCTGCGGGGCACCACGCCTCTAAAAATATCGGCCGTCCTTAGAAGCGGGGATGACTACTGTTGTACCTGAAGCGCGCTGAGGTTCTTCATGAGGCAGAGAGGGAGCAACGGGCAGAGGCCGAGAATGACCAGATCCACCGCCCTCTTCTTGAGAACCTCCGGCAGCGACGACACGGTGCCGGCGAGGGCGCTGAACAGGTCTCCCGCGAAGGCCAGGTAAAAGATGCAGCAGCCGAACGTCATCAGCGCCATGGCCACCTCGACCACCTAGGCGGCGGCGGGGGGGGGGGGGGGTGAGGAGATTCTTGTCAGGCAGAAACCATGCGCAACTGGTGGGGGCTCTTCTCGAAACGGACGCAATCACACAGCCAGAGGAACAGGGAGTTGCGCGCCTTGTGTCACGTGTCGGCTGTCTGAGAAAAGCCTCTTCAACTACCCCAACAATCAGATTGTAGATACCGTACATGTTTGTTCGGCGAACGAGTGATACGAACAAAAGGAAAAACGAAGAAAACACTTGATTTTTTTTTTGGAATTTATGCAATGGTTGATTGTGATACGACGCCACAAATTTGAGGGCTGCGCATACATGCGTAGGTTCCCCGGGGGCGGTGTGTGTACCGGTGCGTGTACAGTCGTACGGGCCCGGAGGTAAGAAACGGCAACATCGGGTCAAGGCTCAGTTTCTTATTTCATCGCCACTGCTGTGGAGCACAGGCTGTTCTATGGTAGAGATAAGTATTGGTAGGGTCCACCGCTGAGTCGTGTTTCTCAACCAACCTCTTCCAATTTTCGGGAACATTTCGGGAAAAGGCGATCCTCTGTTTCTTGACAAAATAGTTCTTAAACTGCGGGCCCGTACGTACTGTACGCCAACGTTCACTCACCCACGCCGACTTCTTGCCCACAAGGTCGGTCCAGAGACCGCTGAACGACCACCTCTTTGTGCGCTGGCAGGCCCGCCCGACGCTGATCATGGTGTAGGCCGAGATGATGCCGAACGAGGCAAGCAGCGCGGGGGCCACGGCGAGACCCGTGCCCCCGACCGCCGCCATCCCGTACGCCACCGGGAGCATGCCTGTACAGCACCACCGCCGCGTGAACGCGAACGCGATGACGACGGGTTTTTTTTTCTTCACTGAGTCGTCCGGAGAAGTTTGAGTTGCGTCTTTTTCTTCCCTCGTGCTTTTTTTAATTTCATATTCGCTTCTACTTGGAAGGTATTGAATAGGACCGACCAACTACAAACGTGACGACAACAGCGACAACGACAACCACAACAAGCGCAGCAGTGTGCCCTTTTCGAGAAGATTTTCATAGGGGCATTCTTGCTTGCTTGTGTCACCCACGGCGATCCTTCTCACCGTGGGGGCAAAGGTCTGCAACGATGTTGAGGATGGCCGTAGAGACGGACATGTCTCCGTGCGGGTCTTCCTCGTGGACATTCTGAACAAAACCGTACGGGAGCGGGGGGCCGGGCAGAGGTGCATCATCCAGGCCGGGAGAAGTTAGGTGTAAAGTCGACTCTAACGTGTAGAGTGGACAGATAATTTCGCCACAGTAGTTGGTGCTGTTTCAAGACGCTTGTTTTTAGTAAAAAAGTCTCGCTTGGAAAAAATTATGAAAAGCCTCTGCACAGCACCGAATTCAAACCAACAGCAGCAGCACGGCGTTGTTCTTCCAATTAGCTCACTTTATCTTGCTTCTTTTTTCGCCCCATCTGTTCTGGGAGCCAGTCTCTACACGTTTCGATGGTAAATTTATGCTTGACGCACCACCCGGGGTCACACAGGAAGAGCTCTCCATCTTTCCTACTCCTGCGGTGCTCGGCTTAAACGCGGAGATCGCCTTCAAGTCTTAGCACGAGAAGGGTTCAGCAATCCCTCCCCTCTCCGTTGTGAATACTCACGACTGTGCGTTTTCCACAAAATTTCGAGTTTTCTTGGCGCTGCGAAGTTACTTCGCCCACAACCCGGAAGGTCGTGCAAGGACGCCAACTGAACCCACTCAGTCACTTCCGCTGTTGGGTGACCGAGCTCTCCACCAATCTAGCAGAAGAAACCAAACCGATGGAAAACTATAGAGCACCTGGCTGACGAATTGTGTGTGTTCGTCCCAATCTGTCCTGGCGCCGGTTTACAGGCCTTTCGGTGTGCAATGCAATTTAGCAGAAGAAACCAAAATGATGGAAATCATAGCGCACCTGGCCGACAATGTAGCAGAAGAAAACAATATGATGCGGAGTTGTACGGCACCTGACTCACAATTCAGCACAAGAAAACGACGTGATGGAGAGTTCTAGGGCACCTGACTGACGATGCCCCCCTTGGGGTTCCTGCGAACCCTCGAGCTCAATTCTCCGAAGACACTAGAGACCACGCCGGCCGCTGTGTTGTAGCCAAGGACCCCCCCCCTACAGGACAGTCGAAGGAATCGGGCACGGCAACGACACACACGGGAAGCGCACATCAGTAGCAGTAATGGGAGATGGGGCGACGAGAGCGAGCGAGAGGGCAAAGGAAAACAGGTCAGTTTGGTCCACAGACGGCGCGTGTATGACGGGACAGCGTAGTGTTTGCAAACATCAAATGAGTTTGTTTGTTGAGTACCCCATGGGTATGGAAGCTAGAGAGGGAAACACAGAGAGAGAAAGCTGGCTGCGCGTTGCTTGCGGGTTCAGAAAGCTCGGAGTACCGACGATTATTTGTACAGACGCGCAATGTTTGTGCAGAGAGGATTCGCACATGAAGTCCTGCACCATCTCGCCTCTTTTCTTAAAACACGAAAGGAATCCATCTCCAGCCACAGATACTCCTGTCAAGATGCATCATAGCATGCTAAACTACTGTGTCAATATGCATACTAAAAAGCAGTATGCGTACGAGAGACCTCTTTGCAAAGTGAAAATGTACAAGCGGCAGTACCCCACGGCGAGAAAACATTCGCACAATCGCGACTCGGATCTTTGAAAAGGCAAGAAAAATGACGTAAGAAACTAGGCTCAGCCACGGGCAACAACACACGAATCCAGGTATCACCGTAGCAGCAGCAGTCTGTGCTCATTAGCAACAACGCTGTAGCACGCAGTCTACTCTGTCGTGATACGCATACGTTTAGAGAGCAAGGCTTTCGAGCATTGCTGCTGCACTGCTGTATGCATACGGAGTTGGTTCTTGCGGTGGTTCGGCAATGCCCACTTGTGTCAGTCTTGTTCAGGAGGGTAGCAACCGTATTTGAGAGCACGGCACGGGCACCACAAGCTACCGTCAACAACCCGCGTACGATACCAAAGATGTCCCTACTCGGTTCCCCTCAGCCGTTGTAGCGGTCTGTCGCTGTTCTGGCTCATGGTTCTCATGTTGAAGGTGTCCTTCCTACAACCGGGGTCTTCGGATCGGGTGAATCTCCAGGCCAATTGTCCCTTTCTCTCTTCTTTTTACAGATTTCATCCACACGGGATGGAGTGGGCTTGCGGAGGCGCACCTCAAGTCGTGCAGTGACCGAGCTACTGTAGCGAGGCATCCCCCGCAACACGGCGGTAGCGTGCTTAGATACCTCTTCACCATGTCGGATCCTGTCGGGCACACTCCCGGAATATTTCAAGCACGTCTGTCTCTGCTGCTGTTGATGTAGACGTTCCAGCAGCAGTGCCAGTGCCTGGTCCTATGTAGTCACTAGGGCAACCAACTTGACGCAACCAAGACGGGGCGACTATGGTCACAACCCCGCAACTCGCCTGAGCGTGTCCGCGCCGCTCTTCGCAGCAGCGGTGGCGTGCTCCCGCTGAGGCGTCCTGGCACTGACCAGCAGGTCTCCCGGCGCTGCTGACTCGTAGGACGATGCCTTGTGAAGTCCGAGCGCGGCCTCTCTCCCGAGAGCGCGAGAGTGGACCTGGTCGACCGACGACGCGGTCGCTGTCGTCGTTGCAAACGCAACAGCGTAGAGGAACACGGACGCGAGGTTGACCATCATGATCCTTCAGTGAGAACCGGGAAGCACCTTTGGGCTCGAGCGCCGCTGGTCGGTCTCTTGTGGGACAACTGATGCACGGGGCCCCCAGCCCCCGTGTCGATGATTCCGCGGAGCTGTAGCCCGCTCTTTGCCGAGGCACGCACGGCCGGCCCACACCCAGCAGGGCATTCCGAGCAGCGTCTCTCTCTCGTCTTGGGCAGGAAACAGGTAAAGTGGGGGCCTTCGGTAGGTTTGAAACCCCCCCTCCCTTGTGATTTGTGGTTGTTACAATCCCGTGGTGTTTTTTTCTCTGATTCTTTAGTTGTTGCCAGCCACCACTCCACCCGCGCTGAGATATGATGAAAATGAATAGGGACAGCAGCGGGTTGGAATGGTGCTCTCCCCAAACCGGATCCGTGGCTCGAGAGGAACCCCGAAGCAGAGTAACACCAACCTTTGGGCATACCTCTTGGGGTACGAAGGCTCTCGGCGTTGCGCTTTCTATCTTGCAGGCGTCCCAGAAGAGGGCATCTGGTTGTTTGTCTTTGTGTTGTCGCCCATCAGAAGACGGTGAACGGAACTCTTGTGTGCCAGAGACACGGACGGCACCTACTGGTACTTGTTGCGGAGAAGGCGCCAGGCAAAGGGCCCTGCTGGGCGTATGGGTGGAGCGGGTCAAAGCACATAGCCCTCTGCCAGCTGGAAAATAACTTGCGCGCGAGGCTACTGTGGATTTTCGCGCTCGGATTTTGGCCATGACGGCGAGACTCCATTTTATTGTAGGAGAATACAAAATACAACGTGGCGGACAGGAGGAGGCGGGAGGTCGAGGAAAAAGACTCGTTCCTTGTCTCCTCCCAAAAACAGAGGGAAAAAAAAGTTCACCCCACGGGGGAGATGGCGTGTGTGCTGCTCCGTGGAGTCGTACTGCTGTAGAAACACAGGGAGTGTGTGCGACTTACGCCATGAATTCATTGTTGAATTTTCGGGACTCTCTTTGGCTGTGGATAGATCTCGGATGGATGCGTTGCGTGTGTAGTGTAAAGTAAAAGTTGAAACGCTCAACTCGTACAGCAGTAGTAAATGCTCTCAGGCGACCCAGCCAAGTGTGACGGGTTGCGTAGAGGCATACCGGTAGAGTTTAAGGCCGGTTTGGCCGCGTCGTCAGCTACGAGTTGATGCGGAGCGATAAAGGAGCTGATACCGAGCGATGGTCTCTTGGTCCTTGGTTGGTTTGTTACGTACGTGCGGGCATGACCACAAAGGTCAGAGGGTACTACTATCTTCTGTCAAATCTTATTTTACCGTAAAAACGAGGATCGAGGTTCTTCTGTCCTTTCCCATACACACATTCGACAAAGTCTGTGAGATTGTGTTTACTTTCAAAAACACACAACGAATTTGTGCCGTTTTTTCGTCCGATCCCGTCTGGCCTTGTCAAAACTCAGCCGGAAAAACGAGTAGATAGTACAGCAGTATTCTATTTAGTTTGTTTCGTTCACTATAATATGTTTCCTTTACGGCTGTGTGACACAAGTGAATTTTACCTTTTTAGTTCGACCCCTCTCCCGATTCCAGGTCTCACTGCCGAACGTTTACCCTCACTCAGGTTTGCCGCATCGTACAACCAGCTCTTTTTATCTGATGTCAAGAATCGACTAATACGCTCTGCGTAGCCGTGCATATCGCACCTTGCAAGTGATTGCGCCGCAAAATCTACAATTCACGAGCTTTTCTTCCGTTGGCTGCGCTTCTTCTCATGTGGCCGATAACTCGCAGGGCGAAGACCTCCTTCACACACGAGTCAAAGGCACCCCCGACCGCACCATGTCTCGGCTGTACATCGGCAACCTGCCCATGGACATGAAGGAGAAAGACCTAGAGGACATCTTCTACAAGTACGGCAAGATCACCGACATGCAGCTCAAGATGCCCGAGCGCCCGCCGGCGTTCGGGTTCGTGACGTTCGAAGACTCTAGGGACGCCGACGAGGCAGTCAGGGCTAGGTAAGAGCGGGGAAGATGGTGAACAAGATGGTGAACAAGGGAGGAAATCTGTTTTGTCTCTTTCTATCTCTCTGCCTCGTGCCTCTCTGCTCTCTCCGTGTCATTGTTAGTTCTACGCCAGGTACGAGCGGCAATCTATTGCTCCCGCTTTTGTTTCGAGCACCTACTTCTCTCGAGAACAATCGGCGCAACGAGTCGTCTTGCGCCAGCTTCGCGATTTCAAGAAAAGAAAAGGAACGATGTTCTCTCTCTCCCGACAACGTGCCGCAGTGCCGTTTACCCGACCTGTTTTCACGAGCTACCACCACACATGCCCATTTCGGTCACGGCAGGGACGGCTACGACTTCGACGGCTACCGGCTTCGCGTCGAGATGTCCCGCGGGAAGCGCGAGTTCGGCGGCGGCTTCGGCGGGGGCGGGTTTGGCGGAGGCGGGTACGGCGGAGGCGGATACGGCGGGGGCGGCGGCGGCGGGGGTGGTGGATACGGCGGCGGGGGTGGATACGGTGGCGGGGGTGGATATGGTGGTGGTATGGGACCGCCGCGTGGCGGCTTCGGTGGAGGTAAGTGCATGAGACGTTAGAATGGAGCTAGCGCTGTGAAGAATGTAGGCGTTTTGGTTCCGTTGGGTGCACGCGCCGTCGTGGTGAATGTTTGTGTCTGGTGCCATGGCCCACAAGCTTTGGCGGTAGCTGGCTTCTTGCATGGGAAGGGTGCTGGAGGTTTAGCTTGAGGTCGTTGGCCGTTTGCGATCCTTTGTAGAGTTGCACAACATGCAGCCAGTATCCCAGAGACCAGTATATGGGTCGCCTGGGGGATGGCATTGCGCGCGAATGTGTGTGCCCCCCCCCCCCCCCCCCCCCCCCCCATTTTTTTTTCCCCGGGGCTCTTTTCCGGCCTTTACTGTACCTGTTGGGTTTGGTTACTTGCTGCGGAGGGTGCCCGCGCTGTGGTGTCATCACGCTATGGCCGCCGCCGCCGCCCCTGATGTGACCACACTACCCTGCCCTGAGCCAAGTGCGTTCTTTGGTCGGCAGCAAACGGCGATGGCATGAAATCGGCCGAAATTTGCAAGCAAGCAAGGGGCAAAGTGGGTGGGTGAGACCCACGGGTGTAGAACGGCTGTAGTTATCCCCTCCCCCGGGGATGTTTTGGAGATGGCGAGCGTTGTGGTTTGGGCACAGCGGCCGAGGGAGGAAGCGTGCGAATGGGCATAAAGAAAGGAGAAGCTTCCATGCCCTACCGCTGCACGACACCCGAAAAAAAAAGAGCCGTAGCAGGCATCCGTACCTACACGCAAGCGGGCGGAAGAGGGAAGTTGTGGAGACTGGCTTGCTTGCTTGCTTTGGCCGCTGGTGCTTCGCACTTCTGCTGGGGCTGATCGTGTTAGGGCAGGACTCTCCGCTGTCTCTAGGAGGAGAGGGAGACCCCCGCTCGCAAAGCGTGCTGACTTGTACCCTGGACTGGGGTTGTGGGGAAGGCTCGTCATGTGGGCAGCCGGCGGCTGCGACGTTGGTGTCATGGGGGTGCCGGAGTGTGGCATCTCGCATCCTCGGTCGGCTTGCTCTTGGTTAGGCCGCCGTACACTCCTGCGTCGCCCCGGCGATATTGTTGAGACCGCTCTGCTCTTGATGGCGGTGCCGGGGAGGAAGGGAATGATGCTCCTACCCGCTATGCTTCTAGATGTTCCGCCACATAGCTTGGGGAGACACATGGAAGGGGAGAGGAAGGCAAAAAACTCGCCACGTCATGGGTGGGGGGGGGGAGTGGGGCGGGAGAGGCACTGAGAGGGATGGCTAGGAAAAGCAGAAAGGTTGCCTGGCGGGGGCTTGCTAGCTTGGTTTTGAGGGTGGAGTGGACACAAGGAAAATCGTTGTTCAGCAGCAGCTCTCGGCTGGGAAAAGGAAAATCTTTTGCTGCAGCAGCAGCTCTCGGCTTGGCTTGCACACCGAGCGGGGCTCTGAGAGAAAATGAGAAGAGAGAGAGAGTGTTGGAGTGCCAGGTGCTTTGCTGGGGTTTCGGCACAGGTAAAGGTGGTGTCTACTCGTGTTTTGATGTGTTATCTTGCCCCACGACGTCTCCCTGTCCTCGTTTAATGATACAAAAAAAAATTGGATGCATGCAGGTGAAATGAACAACCGCGTGGTGTGGTTGTGTCATGCTCCTCCCTTGGTTGTCTTGGCGAACGTGCCTACTGCTGCCGGACCTCTGTGTGTTGCCGTTGATGCGTCCTGTGGCCGCTGAAAACGCCGGCTCACAGAACGTTTCGAGGGATAAAACAACGACCGGTTGATTTGCTTATCGATCGTTCTTAATGGGCGAGGTAATTTTTTTTTTTCTGTTGTTTCTAAGGAACTCTGTTCGATGAACAAGTGCTCGAGAAACGCCTCTCCGAAATTGAGACTTGGTGGTAAAGCAATGAAGTTGTTCCCCCAACCCGTCGCTCCTCCCTCTCTATTTGTCATGTTCTAAAGTAAAGTTTCTTGCTATGCATATCATGAACCCCTCACGTCCTCGCCAGACTGTTGATCCGCACGCTAACACTAAAACGATAGGTCCCCCCCCCCCCC